GAGTAAGATTAAACAGAACAGTAGTTTGTGACGCTAGACCATGTGAAGGTAAACATTATGCTTGAAAATGCCATAGTGTTACTGTTACTTTCTAGGGTTCTGGACTTCCGACTGTTTTCGTCAAAGATCGCCCATCGCGCTTTCGGCATGCCGATAGTGTACGGCACCCCCCGCGACTGGGTCCGGGTCGACAGCGTTGCGCTCTACCCGCAGGAACTACAGGGACAGGGGCTGGACAAGGTGACAGAGGTATGTACATTCGATCCTGAAACAATGTTGCGATTTTGTCTAGTGTAACAATTCACGAATCGGACACATTTAAGTTTATAGAGGTACGTACATGCTTGTACGTATATGTATGTCTAGTTTTATTTCTACATCAATTTCTATGCTTGTTGGGATCAGGGACGGTCTTGGATAGTCTCCGCAGATCCAAGAGCGTACTACTGTGTAGATTTGCCTCAAACACGTGCACGGTATCGGATAGTCCACCCGTAACCGTACTTGGGGCAAATCTTGGGGCATGATAATAGTCTTCAATCAGATTGATGGCGGCCGGGGCAAGGGGACTGGCCGCCTGTATCCAAGTCCCCTTGCCGCACAGAATCTGATTGCAGATTAGACTCTCAATACAACAGTGTCCTACGTGGATATGTCTTGATCTGACTGGGTAGAATTGACAAGTACGCAAACAGTAATTTCTCAACAAAAGAATAAGACCAACCGTGTGGCTGTTGCAGGTGATGATGGGAAACCTCCTGTCCGCCATGTTTTCCGCCACGGACGTGCAGCAGGAGTGGAACAGGGGAGAGCTGTGGGCGTTCGTCTACAGGATCATGTTCAGTGGTAAGGGCTCAGACACAGTTATCATACGGTTGCAAAAAATGAAAACATTCTCGGGGTAGTCGTGCATTGTGGTACCAAATAATGCAGCTATGTTTCTGATAGCCTGCTTTATGAAAGATCAATAAGGCTATATGTGTATCATAAATGATATGGTAGCTATAAAGAGTTTGGTCGGTATCATCCCTGTATTACCACATGTCGGAGGCGTTGTAGGATCGTATCCACGTTTGCTCAGTAAAATAAAATCTCGTTTTGAAACTTTGAAAAGTTCACACAGCTGAAAAGTGCGATGTAATTGCAAAGTTCGAGGTCGTGAGCAATTCGCAACTACAATTTCGTTTCTCTGTTGAAGCAAAAATAAGCAAATCTAACTTCCTTTTTATCTATCATCTTGCAACACAATCTAGGAAATAGTGAGGAAAAACTAGTCTCAGCATAGACCTACAATTCAAGCAAACATATCCAAAGAAACAAAGAAATAAAAGTTGGTGTTCCACAGCATCCTTCAGGACGCTGTTCGGGAGACACAAGGAAAACAAAGACGAGACCGCCCGACTGGTTCACTCCATGGAAGAGTTTCAGAAATACGACAAGCGCTTCCCAGAAATCATTTCGAACGTGCCGTGGTGGCTCATGGGACAAACCAGGAAGCGATACGAATATCTGAAGGTATGTAATGCATGCCCTGGTTATTTTTGTTTACCTTCACAGAAGGAAAACATTGGTTTTGCTCGGACCAGACGTCTGTCACCATGGTAACTGGTGCTGTAGCAGACACCCTCTGGTGTTGAATTATGTCAGCAAGTGTCAGAGCGCTGGAGGGGCTGGTTACCTTGTATATGAATGTGTTTGAGTAATAATATAATTAAGAATCAAGAATAAACAGATCAGTTAGAGCAGTAAGCAGCAAACAAATAAATGACTATGTGTAAATTTAAGAAAACAGAGCTTTAGTTTGTTGTGTTTTTAGTCCATGGTATCTCCGGCTGAGCTGAGCCAGCGGGGCTTGTCCGACTTTATGCGGATGCGACAGGAGATTTACACAGACGGAGAGCTGTCTGCTGACGAGAAGGCGGCCTTCAACTTCGCAACCATGTGGGCTTCGCTGGTAAGTAAGAATATCAACATCACAAGATTTCAAAAATAAGTACAAAACGACACACGAAGTACCGCATTTGGCCAATGTATGTTGAATTCATTTCCACACCAAATGGTGCTAACGGTGGCACCAAGCTCCAGTTCTATAGCCTAAAAGCAGGTGGCTAGTCAACTACTAGCCAAATACTTGGTGCCAAGCAGAGAAAGCTGTATGTACGATTTTAAAGCCTTTGACTCAGCTGAGATCGAACTCACGACCTACCGAGTGCGAGGCGACACTCCACCTCTGCACAGGTTTCGCCAGTGTGCATAGTCCTGGATAAGCTTCTCAATGATCCATTTTTGTGGACACAACGCTCCCTCGTCACTGCAGAGTAACACTCTTTCTTGTCTACTCCAGAGTAACACGGTCTCCGCCGCCTTCTGGACCCTGTACCACCTGCTGCACTATGGAGTAACACTATTTCTTGTCCACTCCAGAGTAACACGGTCCCCGCCGCCTTCTGGACCCTGTACCACCTGCTGCACTATGGAGTAACACTCTTTCTTGTCCACTCCAGAGTAACACGGTCCCCGCCGCCTTCTGGACCCTGTACAACCTGCTGAAGGATCCGGTCGCCATGGCCGCCGTCAGGGCAGAGGTGGATCAGGTAAATGCTATATTATGTTTACCTTGAAGTTCGCAAAACAAAAACATATTGTTCTTGCTCTGTTTCTTATTTCTTTTCTTCTTCTTTCCCAACAATAAAATAAAGTCAACGACCTGGACCAGACGTCTATCACCATGGTAACTAGTGTTGTGACAGACACCCTGTGGTGTTGCGTTCAATTATGTAGCTAGACAGTCAGAGAGGCTGATCACTATATATTATATATGAATGTATCTGCTTGACAATAAACAGAGCAGTATCATAAAAAGTCCATCTGTGTTGGTAGTAACATGCTTGAAGTTTAAACTTTTAGTCCAACACATACAGAGCCTTAATTTGTAAGACTATAATAATGTTTACCATGTGAAGGTAAACATGTTTTACTTTCCAAATGTTATTTCTCTCGTTTATTTTCTTTTTTCTTCTTCTGGTTATCTTTTTTGTTTATCTTCAAAATCACAAGTAATGTATCTGTTTAATAGCCGGTATAACAAGCCGGTACACCCTTCTGCGTAAAACGTGTACACAAGTATGTTCAAGCCTGGCAAGCCTTTAAGAAAGAAAAAAAAAAAACGAAAGAAAACGCTTTGATGATCATCATTGACATAGGGATCCATTAATACTCTGAACTATTTAATCTTGTTTTATTCCTGTATCTTGTGGTAGCCGGCGTAACACAGGTACACCAGCTTCAAAGGCACGTGGCGGGATGGCAGCTGATCAAGAAACAGAATAAGAAGAAAAGTAAAAGAAAAGGCGATAAGAAAACAATTTATTGATCATCGTGAACGTAAAGATCCATCAATACTATGAACTGTTTAATCTTTGTGCGTAGCGTGCGTAGTCCAGTGGTTAGCGATCCTGCCTCTGGACTAAGAGGTTGGGAGTTCAAATCCCGGCTCTCTCGCTCACCCGACATGCACGCTACTTTTCAGGATCGCAGTCCTTAGGACGGGACGTTAAGCCGTGGTCCACTGTTCATTGTGCTTGTCGAAAAAGAGCTAGGGGAATTTCTCCGTTACAATGAACCTGTAAATACTGTACATAGCGTCTGTCTTCTCTGTCACGACCAGTGGAAGAGTAGCTCGTCAGAGAGTTAACCCTAAACAATACACCTGGGGTCCGCGCGGACCCCAGCACTATATATTCTGTAATATCTTTTTTGTTTCTTAAGATTTTTTTCTGAAATTTTAGGTAACAAAGTTGTCTCTCAATACAGTGCAGAAAACTCCGTTTCTACCATTTATAAAAATATTATATCTGATTTTCTTTTGGGGTCCGCGCGGACCCCAGCCGGCTTTCGATCATAATGGATACACTGGCGTTCTTATACATTACCTTATTTCGGTTTTGATATGTTTCTATGCACTCATCGTATGTCTACCAAGTTTTCAGAGA